ATGGGGACCAGTATAGACTGATGAACAGGGGTAGATGCAGAGGCAGAGCAGCATTGAACAGACTGTCAAACTACAGTGGGAAGCCTGGGGAGGGTTTGGGGGGGGGGGGTGGTTAAGAGATCAACCGAAGACTTATATGCATGCATATAGGAATAACCGGTGGACACAAGACACTGGGGGGTGAGGGCCGGGGGAGTGTCAAGGGGGGGAAAAAAGGAGACATATGTAATACTCTTTGTAATACTTCAAGAAATAAAAATTATTTTTAAAAAAATCAGGCATTTGCTCTTGCTCCCCCACCCCCACCCCCCACCCCTGTGTGCTAGATTCCTGGGTTGATGGCAGGAGATATGCTCCCCTGCGCCCACGTGGCTTATGGCCATGTGGGACTCTGCACATGGACTAATAGACTTGAACGCCTGACTCTAACATAGAAAGGAAGCTCTGGGCACTGGCTTACTCCTAACCCCAGCTGCACCTTTGCCAGGACTTCCTTCTCTCAATAAACTTTGGTTCCACTGACCGGTTTGTTCTGCGACTTCATTCTTCTATTTCGTGAGACGACGAACTCGGAATCAAACCGCACGTTTCGGTTTCATAACTGCCACGTCACCCAGCAATGGTTCTCTTCCCTGGCTGCAGCAATTGGTTCCAAATTCTAGTTTTTAATCTGCCTTCTCAGATCCAGCAACCTTCAACATTTACCTTCAGAAATACCCCAGGGTAGGGGGCTGGGGGGGTACAGTCCCTTCCTTGGAAGCCTGAGTCCCAGCTCCCTCCAGGCCCTCTTCCATCTCTTAGTTTCTGATAATCCGAGTACTTCTCTATCCAGATCTCTCAGTGGCAGCTGCTTCCTGCAGTTACTATCTCTCGGTTACTGCAATGGTTCCTCTTGCCTTTCCAACCCTCCATTGCCTGTTTAAGCAATTCCTTAAAGTTTTTCTGTAAAAAAAGCTGCTGAGATTTCTGTTTTCTGAGTAGACCCTGACACCCCTAAGAAACCCAGAAATACCCTTTGAACTCCTTGTATAAATTTATGATAGGTTTGTTATTGTGGTAACTAAATGACATTTATAGGATATACCCAGTGTCCAACTGACAAAAATCTATATTCTAAAAGTTAATTTATAAATCCATTGTTTGAATCTTGAAATTATTTTTCCAGGTAAAACAATATTACACATTAAAATTTGATGAGCAGATCAATCCACCAATGCTCATAATATATCTGAAGCACAACATTGTACAAATTGTGTTAGGGAACAGAATTAGCATTGTTTTGGCAATGTTAAAGAACAGAATTCAGTGGAGCAAATTTGGCTTTATTAAGTAACTAGAGGCCTGGTGCACAGATTTGTGCACTGGTGGGGTCCCTTGGCCTAGTCTGCGGGGATCAGGCTGAAACCAGTTCTTCGATATTCCGCGAGGGGTCCCGGATTGTGAGAGGGCACAGGCCAGGCCAAGGACCCCATGGGTGCATGATCGGGGCCAGGGAGGGACTGCAGGAGGGCTCCAGGGCGTGCCCAGCCTGTCTTGCCCAGTCCCAATCTGCTGGACCCCAGCAGCAAGCTAACCTACTAGTTGGAGCATCTGCCCCCTGGTGCTTAGTGCACATCATAGCGATTGGTCGAATAGTCAGAGGGATAATTAGCATATTAGGGCATATATATATATATATATATATATATATATATATATATATATATATATATATATATATATAGAGGCCCA